TTTATACAAATATTTGCCCTTCCAATGAAGAAAGTCTCTGGATTTCTCTGTCTGTAAAAGGAGGACTGCTAATCAGCACTGTTCCCTTTGAATCCTCAGATCCTGCCAATCCCCTGTTATAATTATTACTTTAATCTTTTCAGTATAAAAATTACAACCCTGTTTTACCTGGCATAACTTTATCATAGCAGGAAAAGGAAGAGAAATCAACAAAAAAAAAAACCTGGAAATTTTTTTAAAAAAACAGCTTCCTGCTATGGACAATTGGTTTGTAAAAGGTTTGCATTATGCACTCAGTGTACCATATTACAAGAAGAAGCAGGATCATTTCATGGGCCTTTCAAATAGTTTTAATTATTGATAATATCATTTGGTCCCTAAATGGGATTGCTGAGGCATTTTCTGCAGATAAAAATTGAATATAATCAAAGAGAATAAAATGATCAAAAAGTTAAAAACCAGAACCAGCTAAAAAATATAATTCTACAATCCGCACACAGTCACACAACAGACCCACAAAAACACAAAAGATTTCTCAAGAAATTGACCATGTGATACAGAAATACTGAAACGGCTGCATCGCTATTACACAGAACCGCTTCTTTCTTTGCAATTTAACACAAATCTTGGATGTGAATTGCTGGCAACTGATAAAATGCTTTTAAAAATAAAAATAAAACAATACAGTGGATTATATAGAATCTAAAAACTGATGAAGAGATTCCTCTCATTTCTTCACGTCTGTGAGCTAATCTCAACACATATCTGAACTACTTAAAAAAAAAAACCCATGGGAAAAAAATAGTGAAAAGATTTGACTAGATTTCCAGTAAGAAAGTCATTTACTTTATTAAGACTGAAACTGTGAGAGTTCATCACCCAAAAGAAGAATCCAATTTGTACATAACGGTTATTGCCTAATCAGAGTTGCAACAAACTATTTAAAAGAAGATATTCCTCCTATGTGAAGGAGGAACGCTCTGCTCTGCTCTTCATATTTTTCAATTCTATTCACTATTATTCTATCAATAAACAAACACGTTGTGTATTCTCCAAATTAGGCAACAATCAGTTCCAACAATAAACCACGTTGCACATTCCAATAAGAGACCTCCAGGTAGTTAATACATCTTTTTAAAACCTGTACTGCATTATTTCAACAAAAATTTAAAAAAGTCACAATACTGCCGATAAAGATTGATTATGTTCCATCCAATCTAGTGTCAACTCTTAGCAGCTTAACATAGATTTTTTTCCATGGTTATATGACCCCAAATTGATCCTTTAGATCAGGGGTGTCAAACTCACGTTGTCACAGCAGCGTCATGTGACGTATTGGGACCCTTCGCTAAACCGGGAATGGGTGTGGCTGGTGCATGACACATCCAGCCCATGGGCTGGGAGTTTGACAGCCCTGCTTTAGATTTTCCAACAGAATCTCCAATGCCACTTTGCTACTGTAACTGAATCTATCCACTTTGTTTTCAATTATTATCTTCTCCTCCTCTTTTCTTCCACCTTTCCCAGCATCAGATCAGTGGTGGGTTTCAAAAATTTTTACTACCAGTTCTGTGGGTGTAGCAGGGGAAGGTTACTGTAAAATCTCCACTCCCACTCCACTCCAGGGGAAAGTTACTGCAAAATCCCCATTTCCTCCTGATCAGCTGGGACTCAGGAGACAGACAATAGATGGGGGAGGGGCCAGTCAGAATTTTTACTACCGGTTCTCCAAACTACTCAAAATTTCTGCTACCGGTTCTCCAGAACTGGTCAGAACCTGCTGAAACCCACTTTTGCATCAGATCCTTCTCCAGAGAATTAGGTTTTCACCTAAGGACCTAAATTGAGCTTAGTCATTTAGCCTTGAGTGGGAACTCTGAGTAGATTTATCCAATGATCCATTTGTTTGTTTTCTTGGCTGTCCACAGTATTTTCAGGATCTTCTCCAACACAAAAATTCAAAAGTGTCAACACTATTACCAAAGTCCAACTTTTCATAGAATGCCACATGGAAAACATTGCTTGCATAATTCTGATCTTTATGGTAGACACATCATAACATCTCAATATCTCTGCCAAGATCTTCATAGCTGCTTCATGCTCAGCCAAGATCTTCATAACATCTCAATATCTTTGCCAAGATCTTCATAGCTGCTCTACCAAGTGCTAGTCTACAGCATATTTCTTCACTGCTTGTTTCCTAACTTGTTAGTTGATCCTATCAGCTAGTCAGGAGCTATCTACCACTTCAGTATCTTCATTGTCAATTCTAAAACCAGCCCCACAAACCACTAAGATTTAGCATTGACTTTTTCTTAACTCCTGCAGACATTCTGGCTCTTTTCAGTTCTCAGTCAAAATCCTCTTTTTTATACTCATTCATTTTGAAAGATATTTCCAAACCTTCTGGGAATCAACCCTCTGGGTTCTTTGTCCTAAATAAGAGAAACCAATTATTTCCTTCTTTAAGATAGCTGCTCCTTAAAACCATTGGACCTTATTCTGCAAGTATCACATTTCCACAAAGGAAAAAAAATGATAAGATGGTCCGTTCTCATAGACTTCTTGGAATGAATAAACTATTTCTGAGAGGTTCAGTGATCAGAACTGCTAGAAGTATTTTTAAGATGGAGAAACATTGCAAAGAGATCCACTATTATATTATACATTACATTTAAAGGGGATCCAACTGATACTGATACCACTACTTAGGAATAGTATATTTAATAGATAGGCAAAGCAGATAGCAAAAGAAATATGTTCCCTAATTCAGGGTTTAGCTTCTTCACTCTACTGTTTTTTCTGTCTTACACACATTAGGTCCTAAATCCAGATACAGGTCTTAAATCCAGATTCAGTACTTGGAAGGGAGGGAGGGAAGGAAGGAAGGAAGGAAGGAAGGAAGGAAGGAAGGAAGGAAGGAAGGAAGGAAGGAGCTAAATTTTTTAAAGAAATGTTTAGTATATTGTTTTGTAATAACTATCAGAGGAATTGTGCAAAGGTCACATTTTCATTCTGAAATTTCCCCCCAAAACATACTTATGGAACATATTTATGGAAAATTATGAGAATGACTTACAATTGAAAAACAAACTACCTAATAAACTTGCAGAATTGAACATAGTTGCAACTTTTAAGTCAGAAAGAACATCTTCTGTTTAGCATGTAGACCTATTTCACCTACCCTACCTTATGTTGTTTCATTTTGGAATTTTTATTTTTTTTAAAATGATATCTTATCTTAGCAAATACTGTTACCGAATTAAGCCTGTTTAATTTCAGAAGGATAGGCGTAGAATCTAGGAAAGAGTTCCACTTTGACTTAAGGGGTGCCCAAGAGATAGATGTGCTTCAGAACTTGGCCATTCCTGATAGGAATCCATAACTATTATTGTGAGATTAAGGACTTTTTTTCCAGGATATGAACTCTGTAATTAGGGTGGTGATACCATAAAATGTTCCATGTATGCAGGATGTGGTCAAAAAGATTAGGATGGCAACTATGATAGTGCCATCAAAGCTCCACCTGTTTTTTATAGGGTTGTGTGGGTGATGTACATAAAAAACAGGCAGTAGAGTTTGATGTGACTATTGTTGCAGCTGCCATCTTGATTTTTTTTTACCTTACCCTGACCATTCCCCCCATTATCCAAAATATGGAATTTGCAGCAGCTTTTATATTATATATTAAGATAATTATTTTAATTATATAAATATAAATAAATATAGCTGTTATATCCCCAATATCCTCTCAGGGATCTGCGAAATCAAATTTATTTGCCAGCCAATGTTGAAATAGAATACAATATTAACATCCCACCAAACAATTGTGAGAAGCGGTAGCAGCAGCAGGCGCATCAATTTTAATTTTCAATACAGTACATATTAATAAATGTAACCTATAAAAAGAAGAACTCTTTTTGGGTCTTGGATAATTTTTAAAAGTGGGAAGAAGTCCTGAGAGAAAAAAAAAGTGTAAGAAACCCTGATTACATTATTGCAGATTAAAATATATACAAATATTATTCTTGCTTTTAAAAAAAGGAATTGCTTGCTTTCCCAATATTTGGAGTTTACTTTGCACAAATGTACACACACGTACACACACACACACACATAAGAGCATCATACAGAATTACTGTGTGCTCATGAACATATTGATCCAGCATTTCTCAGGGCTAACTTTAAAATATTTTTTGTAGCAAATATTTTTGAGAATTATTCCTATACCTATTCACTTCCAGGACATCTTTTTAAAAAATCATGAAATCGCCAGAGGTTTTTCCTGCCAACCGCCAGCCAGAAAAGGATCAGGGAAACCAGAACATCCATGAAAAGCATAATTGTTCCATTTGTAAAACAAAAGAGGAGTTAATCTTTCCATGTTTAGCAGATTTCACGTTTTGCAGAACAAAAACATCAAGACAGCTAGCTCCATCCATTTTCTACACACACTGCATATGCAAGACAGATTAAAAAACATCATGGTTGACATCTTGACATTTTTAACCATACTCTGCAGACACAATGTGGGAACCCTGAGATTGCTGGCTTTTGAAGAGGGTTTTGATGGCCTGTCATACCCTTTTGTTGTGACCAATCTCACTTTCCAATTGTCCCCCCCCTCCCCTGTCTGGAACAGCTGACTAGGAATTCTGGGATTTGCAATCCTAAGGCATCAAATGGGAGCAGTTCAGGGGTGAAATCTACTTATCTTCCCTACTGGTTTGGAAGTGTGTGCGCTGCACGTGCACAATTTTGTACCCTCTGTGCATGCACAGAAGGTAAAAAACAGGTTACTTCCTGGTTAAAACCAGGAAATAACAATGTCCAGGTGGGTAGGCGGAGCCTTGCGCTGCCGCCATGTTATAGGGATGGATCTGACCCAATAACTCACAAGACAAGCATATATATATTTCTTAAATCCTTTTATTGCAGGCCTGAATTAATCCTAGGCCTATTCAGTTAAACCTAACTGACCTTTGTTCTTTCCCTTGCAGGTATACATCTGGAACTGCTGGATGACCTTGTGGTGGAAGGTTTTATACCCAGGGGGAGGAGTCAGGAGGTAAGGTGTGGTTATGGGGATGATGGGATATGTGATTTGTTAACTCTCACCGGGCTGTGGGGTTGTTGTGTAAGATAGTTAGACATTTAACCTGACACGCCATTACCGGTTCTCCGAACCACCCGCCGCCACTGCTACTGGTTTGTCCGAACCGGTGTAAACCGGTAGCATTTCACCCCTGGAGCAGATGTAGGGAAGCTGCCAGACTCACTGCCCCTAAGATCCAGCAGTCTAAACCATATGAAGAACAGTTGCAGGAATTGGATCTGTCTAGTTTAATGAAAAGAAGGACTAGTGGTGACATGATAGCAGTGTTTCAATATTTAAGGGGTTGCCACAAAAAAGAGGGGGTCAACCTATTTTGAAAACCACCTGAAGGTACGACAAGGTAAGACAAGAAGCAATAGATGGAAATTAGGACTAAGGAGAAATTTCCTGACAGAATAATTAATCAGTGGAACAGCTTGCCTCCAGAAGTTGTGGGTGCTCCAACACTGGAGGTTTTTAAGAAGAGATTAGACAGCCATCTGACTGAAATGCTATAGGGTTTCCTGCTTGAGCAGCAGGTTAGACTAGAAGACCTCTAGAGTCCCTTTCAACTCTGTCATTCTGTGATTCTGTCTGTTGCAAAGGAGTAAGCATCGAGGCGTTATAGCGGAGAAATGGATGCTTTTCATTTTTATTTATTTTACAGTGCTGATCAGCCAGTCCAATCAAAATGACCCTGTGCAGCATATACAATTCCCATTTTTGTACATTCCCATCTGAAACAATTAACAACAATCCAACAAATACATAGGAAAAACAACAAAAAACAAGCATAAAACAGAAATGGCCCCCAAATTAAAATTCCTTTCCTAACCCAAGGGAGCTCTCACAACATTCTAATCCCCACAGTCTCATTAACAGATAATAAAAACTGGAAGGTCAACATTGCACCTAAGATATTTCCTTGGTGAATGTTCCCTATGATTTGTTCAATATATATATATATCACAGTATTAACAGTCATGAGCATCCTGCTGTCCCAGGTAAAAAGGGAGAGAGTGGGAGATTCTTTGAATGATTGAGAAAAAAAAAATGGAGCTCTGCAGCACACCATCCCTTCAGAAATGCTGAAGCTGGCAAGAGGTAATGCAGCACATGTGCCTTCCAACGATTTTCATGAGTCCATGATGTCCATCACATTTTTTTTCTACGACATCTCTTCCTTCTTGTCAACAATGCTGTAATAATATGTGCGGATCAGTGTCTCCACAGCAGCAAAGTTTGGGCGGTCTTCCCATCTGGGAACAAGAAAGTAGACATGTCAGAAATAAGGGTAAAATAAACTTGTCTGAATGACACACCTACATACATGGCAAAGTTCCCTCTCCAATGAAATCTGGTCTCTAGCATGGAGGTATTTGCAGCAGTGGTGGGTTGCCACCGGTTCGCACCGGTTCTATAGAACCGGTAGTAAAATCGGCGGGAGGCTCCACCCACCGACTCCGACGTCATCAAAATGCTTCTGTGCATGCGTTGCAAAGTAAAGGTAAGTAGAGCCCACGCCTAGTTTGCAGGTATGGACAAAATGTCGAGATGACAATTGCAACAATCCGCCCTCATGCTTGGGAACACTTTCAGAGTTCAAGGCTTTGCAAAATCATAGGGAGGGTCATGTTCCAAAAGGCGAATGCTGCAACAGAAAAACACGAGGTGTCCTTGATGGTCTCTGAGCTTGATTGTTTTTTTGCAGATGTTTCATTAGCAAACTAGGTAACACCATCAGGTAATGAAACATCTGCAAGAAAATCCCAAAGTTGCTTTTTTTCAGGAAGCAATTGGACTTTCTTGATTTGTCTTTGAAGATGTTTCGCTTCTCATTCAAGAAGTTTCTTCAGCTCTGGGGAATGGAACTCACAATTCTGTCAGTGCTGAAGAAGCTTCATGGATGAGAAGCGAAACATCTTCAAATAAAAAACAAGAAAGTCCAGTTGCCTCCTGAAAAAAGCACCTTTGGGACAGCCATGACCTGGATGGCTGAAAATCTCTACAGACATCTGCAAGAAAACAACCGATTTCAGAGAGCACCAAAGACTCCTCATTTCAGCTTTGAGCTACAAATATTCTTCTTTATCGGTACAGAAAAGCACGTTTTCTGAGTCTAGAAATGTGATCCTCCTTGGCTGAGGGACTCTTAGCATGCCTCTGCTGCCAAACCGAAAGAGAAGGTGGTGGTTCTCGCCTTACTTGTAAGTCCAACATAGATTCATCAACTTGTACATCTCTTCTGGACAGCTGGATGGACGTTCCATACGCTTCCCTTCCTCGAGGAATGCCATGACTTCGGGTCCTTTCATTCTCTAGAAGGGGAGAAAGAGATTGGTTAATGAAGCTGAGCATCTGTTTTGGTAAAACGCTAGAATCAGCCCCACTCAAGTAGACCAGACCATGAAATCAAGTGCACAGGAAAGCTAAAACTACTTTGATTGACACTGGCTATAACAAGAGTTTTGCAAGTCTGATTGTGCTATGCCTCCTCCTTCTCCTTCTTATGCTCTTGTGAATTAGGGAGGTGTTGCTTTGTGCTGTTTACTAATGTGTTCTGGCTGTTGTGGACTTTAAAAAAATGCTTCGGCTCCTTTAGCCTATGCGATATTTCCATCAAAGTCATCTTCCTTACTGCCTATACAGAGTGACAAAACCCAAAACAAGATGGAGGGCTCCTACTTTCTTGGCCTTCCAGAAGGCTATGTAAACCTGGCTCTTCCCCCTGGGTGCTGGGCAAAGAAGGGAGTTGAGCCCCTGTAAACTATTTTGGTGCCTTGGCTGTCTCTTAGAAAGGGTGTATTTCTTCGACTCGCTGAAGAAGAGTCTAATGCGGGGAAAGATTGAGGGCAAAACAAGAAGGGGATGACAGAGAATGAGGTGGCTGGATGGAGTCACTGAAGCAGTTGGTGTGAGCTTAAAGCATGGGTGGGGTGCTGGGGGTTTGCAGGGGTTCGGAAGAACCTCTAGCTAAAATTCTTTGCAGTTCGGAGAACCCCCAAATTCCACTCCTGGCTGGCCCCACCCACGCTGCCCCACTCCTCTCAGGAGTCACCATGCGGCTCATTTTGCATGCAAGTAAGTGCAGGGCACATGCGGAGGCTCAGGGAGGGCGAAAAATGGGCCTACTGTAAATTCAGGAAGGCCGGAAATGGGCCCGTTTCCGGCCTCCAAAGGGCCTCCAGAGCCTGGGGAGGCCGTTTTCGCCCTTGAGGAAAGCCTCTGGAGCCCGGGGAGGGCAAAAATGTCCTATTCTCCCCCCGCCTGCTGTGGTGCAGGAGGCCGACTAGGCCATGCCCACCATGGCCACACCCATGCCCACCCAGCAACTGGGCAGAGAACCCCTTGCTAAAATTTTTGAAGCCTACCCCTGGCTTAAAATGGACTCCAGGGGATGGTAGAGGACAGGAAGGCCCCATGGGGTCACGATAAGTTGGACACGACTTCGCGACTAACAACAACAAATTTCTTAATATGTTATACAGGTTTGATTGTTGTTAGCTTCCCAGGTTTATATTGTGTAAGATGGGCATCTCTTAAATAAGCAAATACATAAACCAATCCAGCTTCCTACTTCCTAGGTTCTTTGGAGACATCAAGACACTTGGCAAGACCTTCCTTGATATTCACCAGATTCCCTGCCACATCTAATCCTTTATCTAAAGATTGCTTTAATATTAAAAGTAATTAAGTGGAATCTAATATGCTACAAAGCAAGCTTTATATTCAAGTAAAATCTGTATTTCTGCCATCACCTCTGAGCCAATAGGAAGCCACTTTGGTCTAACGGTGAAAGCACCAAGTCAGAAAGCAGGAGAGTGTGAGTTCAAGTCCCATCTTAGCCATGAAAGTTAGCTGGGTGATTTTGGGCCAGTCACTCTTGCTCAGCCCAAGCCCCCTCACAGGTTGTTGTTGTGGAGAAAATAGGAGGAAGAAGGTACGTTCGATATGTTTGCCACCTTGAATTATTTGTACAAATAATAAAGGCAGGATACAAATAAATAAATAGAGACCTCAAAGCTATTCTTAGAAAATAAAATGATGAAATCAGGTGCTTTGACTGGAAAGGTGTCTTGTGAAGTATTTTCACTTCCCGTCTGCAGCAGACACTTAATAAAGCTTCATATGAGGGAAATAATTTTTACTGAATCCTGTTTACAAAATATCTTGAGCCAATTGCACGCATCCAGAAGCAGGTTCTAATTCAGAGGCACCCACGGAGTAGGGCCAAAACGTTAAAATGTATTTATCAAAACCAACATAAAGCAATAAAAATACAATTAAAAAATAACAAAAATACAAAATTCATTTAAGGTGGCCTCACAACCATACAATTGCAGCCTCATTCTTTAGATCACAGCACTACCTTAACTTTTTTGAGCTCTCCCTAGTGTACAACCAAATTCTATCCATATTTACCTTGTAGGGTTTCTGACCATAAGAAAAGGCCTCCCACATAGTCACCCCATAACTCCAGACATCACTCTTGCTTGAAAACTTCCGATACAGGATGCACTCTGGCGCATACCACTTCAATGGCCACTTCCCAGTGGTCTTGGCCTGTAGATGAGGACAGAATGGAAATTTCTCCAGGTAAAAACTATTTGGATGAGATGAATTATTTGAGGAGACCAAGTATGTAGTCCTTGACTTGCAACCATAATGGAGCCAACATTTATGTTGCTAAGCGAGAGAGTTGTTAAGTGAGATTTGCCCTGTTTTACCACCTTTTTTTTTGCCACAGTTGTTAATTGAATCACTGCAATTGTTAAGTTAGTAACACAGACGTTAAGTGAATCTGGCTTCCCCATTGAGTTTGCTTGTCTGAAGGTTGCAAAAGGCGATCCCATGTCCTTGGGACACCGCAACCGTCATAAACATGAACCAGTTGCCAAGCACCCCAAATTTGATCACATGACCATAGGGATGCTGCAATAGTTGTAAGTGTGAAAAACGGTCATAAGTCACTTTTTTCAATGCCATTGTAATTTTGAACATACACTAAACAAATGGTTGTAAGTCTAGGAATACCTGTACAAGCACATATTTATTTCTCCTAAAATACAAATGATGGCGGAAAGTGATGTAGTCTCCTTTGCAACTCTTGAAATTCTCTTAAATTCTACATACCTCTAGAAGCAGCTTTATCTTAAAGGTCATAAGATAAACAGATTTCTATCAAGGTGGATTTTTGATATTCAATAGGACAGACTCTGCTGTGGCACCCACACAGACAGGTGCACTTAAGAGTGTTTACCAATTCATTTGTTTATTTATTTATTTAGGTATATAATGTATATCACCCCCCCATGATAGTTTTGTTTTTCAAATAATGTTATCACATTTTGCAAAGCCTACACATAAAAAAACCAACATAAACTAATAATCAAGAGCCTCTCTTTAAGGAAGATGGGAGATGAGCAGCTTTGAAAAAATGAAATATTAATAAATAATAATAAAGAAAGAGAGTGGAAGAGCAACAAAGATGATTAGGGGACTAGAGACTAAAACATATGAAGAACGGTTGCTGGAATTGGGTATGTCTGGTTTAATGAAAAGAAGGACTAGGGGAGACACGATAGCAGTCTTCCAATATCTCAGGGGCTGCCGCAAAGAAGAGGGAGCCAAGCTATTCTCCAAAGCACCTGAGGGCAGGACAAGAAGCAATGAGTGGAAACTAATCAAGGAGAGAAGCAACTTAGAACTAAGGAGAAATTTCCTGACAGTTAGAACAATTAATAAGTAGAACAACTTGCCTGCAGAAGCTGTGAATGCTCCAACACTGGAAGTTTTTAAGAAGATATTGGATAACCATTTGTCTGAAGTGGTGTAGGGTTTCCTGCCTGGGCAGGGGGTTGGACTAGAAGACCTCCAAGGTCCCTTCCAACTCTGTTATCCTATCCTATCCTATCCTATCCTATCCTATCCTATCCTATCCTATCCTATCCCTATCCCTATCCCTATCCCTATCCCTATCCCTATCCCTATCCCTACTCTACTTTTTTTTTATTATTTTTTTTATTTGATTTATATGCCGCCCTTCTCCGAAGACTCAGGGCGGCTTACAATGTGCTCAGCAATAGCCTTCATCCTTTTGTATATTTATACAAAGTCAGCTTATTGCCCCCACAAACTGGGTCCTCATTTCACCTACCTTAGAAAGGATGGAAGGCTGAGTCAACCTTGAGCCTTGGCGAGATTCGAACCCTGCAGTAATTGCAGGCAGCTGGTCTTAATAACCAGCTTAATAACAGGGTGCCTTAAACCCCTGTACTACCAAGGCTCTACTCTACTCTACTCTACTCTACTCTACTCTACTCTACTCTATTCTAATAAATAAAGAGAAACGATAAGAGACTAGGGACAGAAGTGCAAAAAGGTAAGAAGAAAAAGAGATAAATGACTTTCTGCTCTGTTTTTTATGTATTCAGGAAGCGCTAACAGAGAATGCTTGCATTAAAGTTTTTATGTTTTATTTAATTTGTATACCGCCCTACTCCCGAAGGACTCAGGGCGGTGAACAGGCACAGAATAAAACACGTAAAATACAAAAATTAAGAACAAAAATAAAATCAAATTAAATCCATTTAGCCCAAGACAAATTTAAAACCCCAGGTTAAGAGCAAATTAAAATTTACATTAAAAAAGAATGGGAAAGGTTAGGCCAGACCAGCCTGGTGAAATAAAAGGTGAGATAAAAAGTGAGAATGAAATCATCCTTCCCACCCTCCTTATCCTTTCCAACAAAATTCTCTCTGAAATTAGGGGTCTTTTGTGCTCTCTGAGCTTGCTTGTTTTCTTGCAAATGTTTCATTACCCAAACTAGGTAACATCATCAATGCTAGTAAGGAACTTATACCGGTATTCGTTTCCCATCTGGGGACAAGAAAGTAGACATGTCAGAAATAAGGGGAAAATAAATGTCTGCAAGAAAACAAGCAAGTTCAGAGAGCACCAAGGACCCCCCTCATGCCAACTCTGAGCGACAAATATTCTCCTTTATTGGTCTCTCTGAAATGCCAGCAGGATTGATTTCCCATCTTGTCTTCTTGCTCACCATATAATAACTGTCATCAGCTGCCAAAGCTTTGGAAAGCCCAAAATCACTGATCTTGGCATAATGCTGGTTGACAAGCAACACATTTCGGGCAGCCAAATCCCGGTGGACGAAGTTCTTTTCCTCCAGATACTTCATTCCAATGGACACCTGATGCATCAGTTCGACCACGTTATTCACAGGAACTTCATCCCTAAGGGAAAATGAAGAGGAAAAAAAAAAAATCTCACAACCGTGTTCCCTTACAGGTAGCCCTCGATTTACAACAGTTCATT